ATCTTTCCAAGCAGCCTCCATGTCTCCAGTGTCTTTTTCCCCACTTGGAGCTGAACCCAGAAGGACATTTCTTTCAACAGTGTAAAAGTCGATTCTCACTCATCCAGGTCGTGGTTGTCCCAAAGATGCTTTTTCAGGAGGCAATTGGACTTTCTCGTTTTTCTTTTGAAGACCTTTAACTTCCCATCCAAGAAACTTCTTCAGCTCTGACAGGATAGTGGCAGTGGTAGGATTCAGCCAGTTCGCACCACTTCGGGAGAACCGGTTGTTAACTTTCTGAGCAGTTTGGTGAACTAGTTGTTGGAAGAAATCATTAGGGCAGAGAACCGGTTGTTAAATTATTTGAACCCCATCACCACTGGATAGTGGTGTCTTTTTCCCCACTTGGAACTGAACCCCATGGACTTTCTTCCAACAGTATGATAGTAATTGATTTACTGGATGCAGCTGGAGAATGCCCATCCACTCACTTGTCTGCAGCTTTCATCTGATTTCCTGGGAAAACCGAGTGCAGGAGGACCTCGGGTTACAAACCATCTCTTTCATGTGAAGAATGAGTCTAGTCCATAGTATCACTGGGTCGGTTATTAAATTGCTGAATTTGTTTACTGACAAAAAATAGCTTTCTTGGAAGGATTTAATCTGAGATTGTTTTGCCCCACTCAAAGGCTTACAAATACTGGTTCAGAACCTCCATGGCATGACTCGTTCAGTTGGAGTAGTTATGTACTATTGATATCATACGCCTCTTACCCTGAATTAACAGATGACCTTCCCAGGGGTTTCAGGTGGATGTTAGATAAGGTTAATGATCAGGTACTCCTAAGAGTAAGACAAGATCATTTCAATGTGGTTGTACAGTAATTTGTCTAGTAGTCTCACTATGGGAACTGACCTGTTGTAAAGGTAAAGGTTTCTTTCCCCTGTCCAGTTATGTCCTAAGGGGCAATGCTCATCTTTTCTTAGCTGAGGGAGTCAGCATTGTCCGAAGACATTTCCGTGGTCACGTGGCCAGCATAACTATATGTGGAGGCACACAGACTGCTGATAACTTCCCACCAAAACTGTACCTAATTAACTACTCACATTTGCATGCTTTTGAACTGATAGGTGGGCAGGAGTTGAGGCAAGGAAAGGACATCACTCTGTCATGCAATGCTCGGGTCTTGAACCCGGGCTGTCAGCTTTCCAGTTGGCAAGCTGAGTGTGTTTAACCGCTGAGCCATTGCGCTTCCTGACATAGTGAAAGCTTACTTAGCTGTATGGTATGCTGAGGACATACATTGAAGGTCTATCTAATCTGGCTATTCGGTTTAAAGGACTTTCTGTGGAGTGTGATCTGTCTGTTTGATTTATCCACTGCCTCAGTAACAATACATAAAATAATTATACAATTGCATTAATCACAAATATCAAAAGTTGATGCTACTGGCTCCATGGTCAATCTCCAAAGGCTTTCCAGAAGAACCAGATTCTTATAAGCTATTTGAAGACTATAAGAGCAGCGTCCATCCTCGCGTCAGGGGCAGCCAAGATGGCTCAGAGAAAAACCACCACAGAGCCCCCACTTGATGAGTGAGAATGATGGGAGCAGGAGAGGGGGCTTCTTCGCTTAAGTCTTTTAAGTAAGTAAACTTTTGATTAATATTTCTAGTTCTTTGAAGTAACAAGCAAATTCCCCAAGTGGAATGTGGATTCTGATAAGAACCGGTTCAGACCGGCCAAAGATGAGAATTGCCCAAATATTTGAACTTCAGTAATCTGAAAACTAATTCTATTGTGAGAACCACACCTACTGAACATACAACTGGGCATTGACAAGATCAGCCTAAGAATGTTAAGAGATGCCATGAAATGTTAGACGTTACATAGGCTACATCACAGATGAGTCAAATGATGCTGACCAATGAAAGAACACATTCCAAACCCAATATGTTTCAACTATATATAAAGTGATTGCCAACCTTTCCATGGGTCTCTCGCCTTGTATCTGGGGGAGACCTTTCCTTGTTTATGCACAAGTAAGAGATATTAATCTCTCCTATTTTGGGTAAAGGAACACTGAGCTAAGAACCCTGCCATCATTTACGGCTAACAGGGATCCTAACCAAGCATTCTCTTAGACAGTGACGTGCGGTGAGCTTTACGGCTGGTGAGGCACTTTTTAGACTTGTGGACTTCAACTCCCAGAATTCCACAGCCAGGCATGCTCAGTTCCGATTTAAAGCGACAGCATTTTTCTTCCGAGGTGGGTGAAATGAGGACCCAGACTGTGGGGGAGATATGCTGACTCTGTAAACCACTTAGAGA